TTTTGTAAACAACCAGTTATTCTTTACACCGATTAAAAAAACGGCTACAAAAATAAAGAAAATCTTTTCTAAATGTGGAACTAAATACATTGATTTGCATTGAAATACATGATGAATACTCTTGACACATGAAAGTGTAAAGCCTGCAGCTCACAACAAATGTGGAAGGTTATTGATTGTCATATTTAACAAGCCGTTTACTGCTAATTTGATGTAGCCTAATTTTGCTCACATGGATAATTGAATATTAATCAGATGATGTTATTACGCTGCTGTGCCATCAGCCAATCGTTGCATTGCTGATCATGATTTCGAGGATCGATAGATCTGTCCTTCACAACACACGCAGCGATCTCAGATCAGTTAATCCAGACATTCTAATCTGATTCGCGAACTTGTTTGAAGAACCAAATTAGCGAGAGATCAGTTATCAAGATTAAAAGATCCAGGATCTGTCAAATCATCTTAGATCATTTAAGCGAGGTACGAAGAACGGACCCCAGAAGTGAACAAAAGTCATTTGGGACATCAACTGTACATTGTTTATAAAAAAAAAAAACATTATATACATATAAAAATAAGCTTTTAATCTAAATTTTGATTTCATTAAGACTTGAAGCATCGCTAAATATATATATTTAAACACTTTAGTTTACTGTTTTAAATTATGAGTAGCTTGGCAAGTCAATTTCAAAGCTTTAATGATGCCACCTTTGCCAGTGTCGTTGTTTTTGTGTGTGTATTTTCAGAGCCAAAATCATAAAAGGAGACACACTGCAGCCAGTTGGCTCTAAACAGGATATCCCAAACTTTATTTCCTGTGTAGAGGTGTACTAGGGGAGCAATCACAGTTAGTGGACGTCCATCTTATTAGATTGAGTGCAACATAAAAATAAAATCAAAACAAAAAAATCTCATATTCAATTATTCATTTCGGAAATAAAACAACCTAACGATCAAAACAGAACAGCGAGAAGTAAAGCGATAGACAGTGAGAGAGAGAGAGAGAGAGAGAGAGAGAGAGAGAGAGAGAGAGAGAGAGAACAGAGTCAGCTTAAATAAGCCCATGACAGGAGGACTGTGTAAGACACACTATGCCACAAGGCCACACACACTTGCATTAACATGACTCTCAGCATAAGCTTACAGTGATCGTACACACACGCACACACAATTATTTGAGCCCCTCGATCTGCACAAGACAGATAATATAATAAAACCTTCATTTAGATTAGCTATTCCGTTACATACAATACATTCAGTCCTGCTTTGGCATGAGAGCTTTCTGCCATGATGTTTACACTGCAAAATAAAGAAAAACAAAAGTATTTTGTCTTGTTATCTAGCAAAAATAATGTAATGGATATGTTCTAATGAGTAGATCTCTTTTGTTTGAGCATAAACCTGCTTATATTATGCTTTTAGGAACAGCAAAAAAAAAAAAGTCTATATATATATACTGTAGATATTCTTTGAAAATAACCCTTCATGTGTAAAAGTATTCTTTTTCTGGAAAACTAGACAAAACAGCTAGTCAGGAACAGTATTTTTTGCAGTGCGAGTGGTTTTTGCAAACCTTTTATACATGCTATGAATTTATACATTATAAATAAGTGAAATGTAGACATTTACACACGTATACGCACTGTCCAGGAACATTTTTACACATATACACTGCCATTGTTTACAACATAAAGCCTAGATTTTCACGGGACACATTAATGCAAGATGTTAGTGAGGCCTTGGAGTGGAGAGTTAGAGGAGAGAGAGAGAGAGAGATGGGAAGAGGAGGAAATAATATTATCAAAGATTAGTATTAAACCCCTGAAAGGCTAGAGTCCATCTGAGCAGTGAGGAAGAGAGAGAGGGGTTAGGAATGTAAGACAAACCCTGACGCTTTACATACACACACATTCTTCTAACGTTTTACAGACATTTTCCAGATGGTTCACTTGTTTTTTGTTTTTTTTTTGGAGCAGAAATATCACAATTTCTACGTTCCCTTAATTCTTACAAACATCAGACTGCTCAAACACACACACACATGCACTCACACACTGCTCAGCAAAGAAACTAGAACAAAAGCTCTATGCAACAATCAATCTAAAAGGCAATATTTGTCATTCAGAAGTTCTTAAGGGTCTCAAATAAATATGTTGTATTCTCTCTGTGATAATGGCAGAGTCTGCCTTCATTCTACTGTACAGTATATACATACACACACCTGAACGCTTCGAATATTCCACACTGTTAAATAATACAGCCATTGCAACAACCAAGCGACGGATCTTGATATATTGCTTCCACTGTTTGTACATGTGCTCCTGTACCAAACGACAGATACTGCCTTTTTAATATACATGTGCAAGTAAAAACCCAAAAAAACCTAAACACATTCAAATGAAACTTACGGACGGAAAATCAAACGAACGAAGAACAAAGAGTCTGAATATCTATACAGCTTTCAAACCTCGGTAGACTACGTTAATGAAGGGGATTCCGCGTACTATATACAGACAGGTTAGCATCCATGCATTTGTCAACACGAAGCACATTAACATTCCAAATATGGACATGGCAAACAAGGGGGCGGGGCAGGGGAGGGGCTAGGCTTCACAGGGGGGTGGTTCTGATGCAGCCACGCCCTGATTTATAGAGCACAGATGCGCAACTGCTGACCTCTGCTCTGCCAAAGCAAATACACATACAGTATAAACCGTAGAGACCATGTAGAGTTCCATCATCCCGTACGGAGAGACGCACCGCTTGGTGTGACGAGCAGAACGTACGGCAAAAGTCTGGTCTGGCGAGAGTCTTGGTATGGCTGTAATTCACATGGTTTCACCGACTCGCTCCAGCTTTGTTTATTGGTTAAATATTAGACTTAAGGAAAAGGTCTGTTTATTGATGATGGTGTTTTTTTCCCTTCATTCTTTGTAGTGTCTTTCTTGTGGATCTTAAAATACGCAAGCAACAGCGGACCATCTTCATAAGGGACTGACGGTCAATATTAACTTCCAGTGGAAATGCCCTGGCGCTGGTACAATGTTGATTCCTTTCATTACAAATGTAAAACAAACTCAAACACAACAACCTAAAGAAAAAAAAAAAGAGCTCTTCAAGCGATCACCTTCAAAATCAAGCTACTGCAACTACAAACCCCAACTTAGAACCCCTTTAAAACACTCTTTCGTCATGAGAAAAGGTGTTCGGATGCAGTAAAAGAGCTGTAGGCTGGATCCCTTCAGTACAAACACCTATAAGAAATGTCACCAAGGCCTCTTTATCCTTGCAAGGACATTTTTGGTGTGGGTAAAAAATGTAAGTATCGAAATACAAAACCCACTTCAGGGGCTGTGTGGCACACTTCAGTTCTCCGTTAGAAAGATTTCCCTTTGGCAAATTTTGGTGCAAACTACACAACAGATGCAGCCCAAAATATCTACACGTCAGATCTGCTGTGCTCAGTCCAGAAACGTGATTTCAGTTTTACTCTTAAAGATAAAGGTTCCAATAGTCGGTTTCTCAGCTGAAAGACATTCAAATAACCTTTAAGTTTAACAGATGATAACGGCTTTCTCTGTAGGACCATCAATGGCGATAAAGAATCTTTATTTTTAAGAGGATTCCCATTAAGACTGGAAATTCAACTTTGGACCCAGCAAACTATTTTGTGTTAAATAGATGTCTAATAGACATCTAAAAGTAGACAGCTTGGCTAAAACAAGGCTAAACTTGGGCTGTCAGTGAAAATTTAATAGACATCTGAGAATGGGCCAAAACTAGACTAGTGGTCAAGTAGACAGACTTTATATGTGTAGTCATTCATTTCTGTTTATTTGACACCTAGTCTAGTTTTGGCCTATTCTTAGATGTTTATTAGATTTTCACTGACAGCCCGAATTTAACCTCGTTTTAGCCAAGACCACTATGTTTAAATGTCTGTTAGACATCTTTTAAAAACAAACAATGCTTGCTGGGGAAAGAAGTAAAAAATCCTGCAATTGCATTTTCAATATTTAAACTGAGCTACGCTGGCTTTGTTTGCGTTAAACCATGCTATCCTAAATATAATTAGAATCAAATTCAGGTTAGTTCTACAACTTTTGCTTTTAAAATCAAGCTATGTCTAAAACCGTGACTACTCTACGAGATTTACCATACAGCTCTGAATGCAGCGAATCTGTAAAGTACAAAGAAGCAATCTCAGCAGGTTTGGAGGGAAAGCGCGCCCTCGTAAACTCCACGTAGATGAGTGACTCAGTGTATTCTTTATCAAGCAAAAGACTACCAATTTTACATGCTTGCATGTGTAAGACTGTAAATTGTGTCTGAATGTATGGCCACCGGTTTTGCATTTTTCCCATAGTATGTCTATTTGTTTGGACGGAAAGTAACAGTCATAATTGTAAACTTTCAATGTGATGTTGGCAAAGCATGTCACATGCTGGATTATCTCACGGCACAGACCTCCATCAATTGCATAAATTAATAATCTAATCCATAACGAAGTGCGCTATAATCATAATGGAAAATTCAGGATGTTCCTCGACCAGAGCTCATCCAGCAGATCGAGGCTTTTAAATCAAAGTCTTGCACTAGTGCATCTCTAGTCTCTAAAGCTTCAGCGCCGGCAGAGATTAGCACTGCATTCTCCTTATTGTTATTCTCTTCTGAACTGCACAGAAAAACTGGCCTTCACAGGAACTAGTTACACACACAGCTGCTCTTAAGAACAACAAAAGCTGTTTAAGATGATGTGCGAAGAGTTAACCCCTTTCGATTACATTACCGTAAACACAAAGTGGTGTGCTCGAAAAAAAAAAAAAAAAAAAAATCACCCAAGCAAAATTACAGTACCGCTCGCTCCAACATAACAAACCTATAACACACAGCCACATTACCCAGAGTTCCATGGCACTATGAAGAGGGCTTACAGATTCCACGGCCCCACGTGGCTTTTACACCGGTTTAGGTTAAAAAAGCACATCTACAGTAGTTAAAGGTAGCAATTTCATAGTCTAGATTTTGATGTCTGGACACTGTGGTCCAATCAGATGCAGTCGTTGAGCGGAGGAAGATGAAGATGAACAAATGATGTGTGGAGAAAAGATGGTCTGTGGAAAACCATCATCCACCGCTGTTGCCTTCCTCTGCAGTCCTTGTTAGTTTTCCCCAGAATGCATGAATGTGTTTGTGTGTGTCTGTGTAGTTCTGTGTGTGTGTGTGTGTGTGAGCATGTGAGTGCATGTTTAGAAGCCCTTGATGTGGCAGTAAGCCTCCAGAGAGGAGAAGAGGATGTAGAGGAGCCAAAGGCTGACGAAGAGCATTGTGGTCAGCGCTTTCGCAGTCCGCGGACCCCCCAGCTCACCGCCGATATCGGGCCGGCGCCGGTACATGAGCACCGCCACACAGATGAAGGCGAAGATGGTGAAGAGGGTGACGGAGAAGGCCAGGTTTCCTGGCTCCACCCTGAAATCGTTGCCCTTTGAGTTGTGGTAGATGGCGGCGATGGACCAGGCCACTCCGATGCCCAGGAACACGTTCACGGCGTTGCTGCCCGTCACGTTTCCAATGGATGCATCGGCATACTGATCCTGTATCGCTGCCACTTTACTGGCAAATGTGTCTAATGATAAAGAAGGCAGAGGAGAGAGATATTAGTACACCATTTCTGACAATTACTCATTAACAGACTAATTTGATTGATTAATAAAAAATACTAATAATGCAAACTTTGTTTAAAGCAAATAATCAAAAAAGTTACAAAAATCTTAACTATCAATAAATAAATAAAACCTGAACTATCCAGGGTTATGATAATAAAATAAATCAAAAACATGTTTCCTCAGCTATTTGCCAGAGATATTCCTAAATATTTTGTTCTTGTTAAACAAGATGTATTAAAATAAGTACAACAAATATAGCAAACAACCAAACCAAACAACCGAACAAACAATACATACATATTTTGAAAAAAAAAAAAAACTAATACCATACACAAATATGCATTGTATTGTTTAAAGTAAAGTTGAAAATATACAAATAAAAAACAAATAATTCAATAGTATATCATTGGGATTAAATAAATGAAACAAAAACTAATAATGTAACAAATAAAATAAAAAATATACAGACAAATCAATAAACCAAAGTTAATAAAAACAATAAAACTACAATTTTTGAAACAATAAATGAAAAAAATATTATTACAATTAAATTAAACATAAAATAGAATGTATAATGATAAAATAATTTTATAAAAATTAAAATTTAATAATTAACTAAAATTAGATACTAAAATAAAACTAAAACAATCAAATATACAAAACCAGCCAAGTTAAATCCGAAACTATTTAAATGCTTATAAAAAGTTTTATTATTTATTAAAAAGAACAGAATAAATATAAACAATCTATACAAAGAAAAAAAATATTAATAAATCTACAATAGCATATTAATGTCACCTAAAATGGCAACAAAATACTACGAATTTATTACAGATTTAATTATGTACAGTAAGGAAAAACTAACAAGAACACGTGGTTTATGCTTAAAATAAGAACAAATAACCCAACAAAAAATGTTATAAATGAAATATATCACAAATACAGTGCTCATCTTATACAAGTGCAGCCCATTTTGAAAATGAATGTTTTATCCATTTCTCAGTGAATATAGGCAGTGTATTTTGGTACATTTAAACAAAACAGATTTATTAAACAGATACATTTATTAAAATAATATTTTACACTCCAAACATATTTAGAAATTGAAGATAATATAATTAAAATCAAGCTAATTATTGCAAATAAATAAATAAATACAATTACAAACTACAAAATTTCAAAGTTTTAGATTTTTTGCCTCTTGATTTTTTTCTCTTTTTAAATTTTGTATTTAATATTTTTCTCTAAGATATAAATTTTGGTGTACTAGTTTTTGGACCATTTTCATAAGTTATTTTGTTAGGCTTCTGATTTGGATTCAGTACTGACTAATCTAACGTATATGCACAAATTTAATATTGTATAGCTTCCTATTAAAAATATGAATTTAAAAGAGAGATTTGTAATTAATCTTTACATTTTTCAAAATTTATTATATAACATTAATAATAAGAAAAAATAATAATAAGCAAAAAATCTGGTAGAAAATAACTAAAAATCAATTGTATTCTTTTATTTATTTACAGCGCGCTAACACCAGCATATGCTCACACGGTATTCTCATCTCTCTCATCTCTCCTTTTTTGGTCAGAATGTAATTTCACAATAACAGTCTGGTTAACCTCTGATTTGAGCTGGAATCAGAGGACTGTGTGTTTTCTCTCCGCATGCTAACAGCCTGATCTATTGCAGACAGATGAGGAATCATAAGGATGCTGATTGTGCTTTCTGTCCTCTAAATAATCCGACATGCACAAACGCTGCTTTTTCCAGCTCTCTGTCTTTTTAAATCTTCCTCTCTCGCTTTGGTTATGCTAATGCACTCCATCACACGTAACCCTGCTAAAGCGCTCTGGATATCTTCATATTACTGTTTGCTGCCTGTGGTCACAAAGAGCCATTTTCCTCATTTAAAGGTCTTGCATTCTTGCACATACACAATATAATATGAGCACAGTCCTGTTTACATATTTGTACCGCACGAGTACATGCAAAGAGAAGATGTAATCACACACACACACACTCGTAAATGTAGTACTGTAATAGAATAAAACAGAGTCAGTAGTTTTGTTGCAATAGTTTTTTTGTGTCATGTGTTGCTTGTTCCAAGTTATTGGCTATTACATTGACATGGGTGTGTTCAAAATAATAGCAGTGTGAAGTTTAATGAGAGAATTCATTTATTCTGTGAAAAAAAACAGATATTATGATGGTCCTCTTTTTTAAAGGAAAAAGTCATTGTTTTCTATATTTCTTTCTCATTTGTGATGTAAAGTAGGTTGTTTCAAACATTGTTCAGAAAAAGTGATTTAAATAAAACGTTGATTGCATTAGGAAAAACATACACACTCACTGGCCACTTTATTAGGTACACCTTACTAGTATCAGATTGGACCCAATTTTGCCTTCAGAACTGTCCTAATCCGTTGTGGCATAGATTCAACAAGGTACTAAAAATATTCCTCAGAGATTTTGGTCCTTACTGACATAATAGCATCTCGCAGTTGCTGCAATATTTTATTGTCCAACTTTGGTGAGCCTGAGCGGATTATAGCCTCAGTTTCCTGTTCTTAGTTGACAGGAGTGGCACCCGATCTGGTCTTCCGTTGCTGTAGCCCATTCTCCTCTGACCTCTGGCATCAACAAGGCATTTGCACCCACAGAACCGCCGCTCAATGGATGTTTTCTCTTTTTCAGACCATTCTCCGTAAACCATAGAGATGGTTGTGCGTGAAAATCCCAGTCGATCAGCAGTTTCTGAAATACTTAAATCAGCCCGTCTGGCACCAACACCCATGCCACATTCAAAGTCACTTAAATCACCTTTCTTCCCCATTCCGATGCTTGGTTTGAACTGCAGCAGATCATTTTGACCGTGTCTACATGCCTAAATGCATTGTGAAGCTGCAATGTGATTGGCTGATTAGAAATTTGAGTAAGTTGGACAGGTGTACCAAATAAAGTGACCGATGCAAGATTGGCAGCAAATTATAGGATTCCCATCAAAAAATGAACTCAAATACTTTAAAGTGGCAAGAAAAAAAATTAAAACATGCAACAATCTCGCAGCAAATTCATAACTTTTTGATTTAGTGGCTAATTCATATTAATTTGTATTACCTCATTTAGTCATTCTAGTTAAAGTTGGTGATCCTCTAATGAGGGACAGAAGTGGAGTTTGAGGGTACGGCTCCTTTTAAAAATGATACATTTTTAACACAAATAAAACAACTACATTTTAAGCAAATATATACCGATGAGAACAAGCAACCACAGTTAAAACAGATCAAGAATGGTCTGAAGGGCAAAGATTCAGCAAAACATCACTTCCAGACAGATCAAAGATGATCTTAAATGACCTTTAAGTACAGTTACTGTCAAAAGATGTTTGATGGAAGATCCGCTGTCAGCAAGAAGCCCCCGTAAAACTCCATTGTTGAAAAATGCTGAATCGGTTAAAATTGTTCAAGAAACACACTGACAAAGCCCAAAGATGTGAACTGATGAAAGTAAAAATCATTTTTTCAGATGTAGTGTCATAGACGGTCTGTCAGACGACATACAGGTACTGAATTTAATACAGCGAGAAGAATGTTGGCACAAAAATCATTTGATGTTCCTCATACTAGTGGTGTTGGACCTTTGTACTGTTTACCAGATATCATAGATCAGTTAGAATACATCAGAATACTTGAAGAGATTATGTTGCTCTATGCTGAGGAGGAAATGTCCCTGAAATTTGTGTTTAAGTAATAAAAATAGTGTTTAAGTAAAAACATTTTTTTTTTCTCTTTAAAAAGAAAAAATATTGATACTGCTATTTTTTTAACAGACTGATAATCCTTTGTATAAGCATTTATTCTTTGTTTTATTATTTATTTGACTTTGATGTTATTTAACATTTAACAACTGTCAAATTCTGAAGATAAAAACACATTTATATTAATATTTTAGCAATATTTTATTTTCAATTCAGAATAAATCAGATCTTCATATAACACAACAAACAAATACTCAAATCCTTAAAACTGTCTTACAAAGTGGTGCAGTGGGTAGCACAATCGCCTCACAGCAAGAAAGTTGCTGGTTCGAGCCTCTGCTGGGTCAGTTGCCATTTTTGTGTGGAGTTTGCATGTTCTCCCCTTGTCTGCATGCTTTTGTTTTCCCCACAGTCCAAAGACATGTGCTTTAGGTAAATTGAATTAGCTAAATGGTCTATAGTGTATGTGTGTAAATGAGTGTGTGTATGAGTGTTTCCCAGTGATGGGTTGCAGCTGCAAGGGCATCTGTTGCTAAAGCATATGCTGGATAAGTTGGCGGGTCATTCCGCTGTGGCCACCCCAGATTAATAAAGGGACTAAGCTGAAAAGAAAATGAATGAATGAATGAATAAATAAATAAATGAATATATACCTCTAAATGCTGTCTGACATTTTCTCCTAAAATAAGCATTTTTCTCAGCTTCCTTTGTGTATGATCAGTTATTTCACTTTAAAGCCAATAAAAAGAACATATTTGTCAATATAAACGTAAAATTACTGAGCCTACAAACAGGAGTCGGAGAAAAATGCTAATTTTAGAAGAAAATATCATACGGCATTTAGAGGTTTTTGCATCTAAACTCTTCATATAAATCTAGATATATACCTGGAAATTAAGGTATAGTCAAGCCCAGTGTGTTTTTTTGGTTTTTGCATGTTTATCAACATGAACATTCCCAACAGAATCAACAATGAACATTTTCACAGAAATGAATCATTTCTGGATGCGAGCGGCTCCAAGCTGTCATCTCATAATAATAGTAACTCCATCCAATTCCACTCCATTAAAAACATCCATCTAAAAGCAAATGGTAAAAACTCTCCATGCGAATCTGACAAAGTATCTGAGAACAACATTAGCCATTTAAAGGCTTAAAAGAGCCAAACTGCCTCAAACGGCATCTCAAGACACAGAATTA